GCTCGACTCCTCGTGAAATAAATAAAAATGCTCGAGCTCGACTCTATGCTCGACATGACTCGAGTTGGGCTTCAAATTTTAACAGCTAAACTTTAAATATAAGAGTACTATTTTTATTGTAAATAAACAAATTTGGTCTTTATGTTCTAATATTGATAATTAAACTAAATGGGGTAGTTATATAAATAAAAAGTCGAGGGGCTCATCGAGCTTACGAGCCTCTTGAAATGATGCTAAATGCTCAACTCGTTTGCATGATTAAACTACTCTGAGCTCGAGTTTGACCGAGAATCGAACAAATGGAAAAAAATTTATACTCCATTTAAAAAAATCATGATACTTTGGGAGGATTCAACCTATGCCCACATCGGACTCTATACTCGTTGGATTACACGCACACATGATCTGAAGGTGTGCATGGGCAGGTGAAAGCTTAAATTCACCGATTTTAATTAGGATTTCTCTTTTCTCTATGTATGTACTTATTTTCATGCTATTTTGTTATGGAAATGGTGTACTTATTAGTTGCAGGATTTAGGTTGTTGGATATTTTCATGCATATACTGGTTTGTTATGAATATGGTATTTGTATTTGATAAAGAAAAAACAAATAAAGGAAAAAATGTGAATTTTTATATATACATATTATTAATTGATATATTATTTTTAAGAAATAAAAACATTAATGACTAACGAATGTTTATAAATTTGATAAGTATCCAATGATTTTATATTTTCAAATAATTTGAAATTCAAGGTGGATGTGGTTGATTTTATATGTTTAGAATAAGTGAAACAAAAAAGTTAAACAACATTTCGTACTACACTGTTTAATACTCCAATTAATAAATTTATTTTGACATAATTATGTTTTTTGATATACTACACTGTTTAATACTCCAATTAATAAATTTATTTTGACATAAATATGTTTTTTTGAGTAATCAAGAATGTATGTTCTCCCTCACTCTTCCATCCTTGATTTGATCATATACAATTTATAATAAATTTTAATAAAATAAATTATTTATCCCTATAGTTTTGTATTATTCAACAAATTTGATGGGTGGGTGATTAAATTATAAGAAATTATTAAATATAAATACTAGGTATTATCCAACAATAAATTTAATCAGACAAATAGTAGTATTTTCCCACAATATTCATAAAAAGCTAAATAATTTATGAACGTTCTAAAAACAAATGACTAGTAAAAAAAACCATGAAAATTTTGACACAGATTATTTGCTAATTTGTAAATATTATAGACGACATTGTAAAATTAGGCAACTAAACATCTAATATCTTGATAACATATATTGGAACCCTCGTATTTATTGTATTTATCCAAATGTGCACATTCCCATTTATTATTTTTTTTTTTTTGGTACAATAAGGGAGGCTAATGCCTATTTGCGGGAGATTAGGGTTTGTCGTGGATAAGCCACTCCAACAAGATCATGCTCGAGCCATTTCCGTACTTCCACCGGCGGGTGCTCAAACTTTGAAAGCCTCCAGGTCCACCTGAATACAACTTGCACATTTGCCCTAATTAAACAAAGACGAATATCTATTATTCTAATTTAATGAATTTTATTTTATTTTTGTATACTCATTTATTTTAATTAATACATTGTTATTCTTGGTTTTCTATGTTATTTAATTTGATCAACATTTTTTTATTTTTATTGTATTTTATTTTATTTTTTATTTTTTTTATTTTCTCTGTATCATTTATTTTATTTGATATATCTCTCAGTATTTTAAGGTTTTTACATGTGATAAATAAAATAACTAATTACAACACAAAACAATAGCAAAATCCTATGTCTCAATTATATGCATATTTTCTATTCAAGCTTATATTTATTTTGATATGTTATAATTATGTGAATTTCATTTTGATTACATAATTTTATTTTAGTTATAATTTTTTATTTTATTTATTACATGCAATCACCAGATCCAATGGTTGAAAATTGGGTCTGGGCACTGCCTGAGTTGAAATTTACTCGGATAAATAAAGTAAACACACACTCATGGGCCCAACTCAGGACCTCGTTACAGAGCATCTATAGAACCGATAAACCCATCCACTTTACTTTACAGCTGAAGATTTTTATTGATCTCCATTTCTTAATTCCAGTTTCGTATGTACAAAGCTCAATTATTGACCAAGGTACGAGAACAAACACGAACGGGAAGTTTGCTTTTGGGACCTCTCTCTCTTTATAGCTCACTAATGGAGGAAAATACGATCGGCCCTGATGAAATGAACAGGTAAGTTTGATGGGTTCTCTAAATTTTCGTTTCTATCTTCACCAGCTTCTTGATTTTGAGGTTCTTTACTTGCCTTGCTTGTTCATGAGCTTAGTCAAATTGTTTAACTTTCTTGATTTTATAGTAGACACTCTTGTTTCTTGATTTTGATGATCTCTGTTGGCTTGCTTTTTCATGGGCTTAGTCAAAGTCTCTAACTTTCTTGATTTTCATGGTCGTGTTTATTGATAAAGCTTTGATGTCAGCTGGAGAAATCAACACAGCAGCTGGATCTGTATTCTGTATTGGGACACAAAAAACATTACACAGTGAAAAACGCACACTGAGTGTAGAAGAGTGTTAAAGTTTTGATTTTTATTGTTATCTGTTGGAAAAAAGGTTTTTCTTTCGAAAGAATAGTGATTCCTTTTTTTTCACCTGGAAGCTGAGAATCACTTGTTTCTAGGGTTTTCAAATCACTAACTTGGTAAAAGGTAGAAATTTAACATATTCCTGTGCTTGTGTTTGTATTTTATTGTTTTAGTTACCAGTAATTCAGATTTACCAGCTGAGCTTAGTATCTTTCCTTCTCATTTAGCTATACCAATAGTTGTAAGATTGTTAAAGTTGACTTGGAAGCATTATTTTCTTTTCCCTTCCATGTTTTTTCCTCGTCTGGTTCGGTTAGTCCTTATAATTTCGAATTTATGTTTTTCACTTTCCAAAATCAGCGTAGCCTACTTGAGCAAGAAGAGGAAAATCCAAGCCGAACTTCTCGAAATGCCTCTAGCAAAACACGTCTGCTGGAATAATCAAGCAAAAAGCAACACATTTTCATCAAGAGGTGAAGTGATTTTTGAAAAGGTAAATGTAGCTAATAGTCCCGATACTGCCATGTCATACGCAGAATCGAGCTCTTCTACTCCAGTTGGTAATTTGGAAGGTAACCCTTTTGAGATCAACTCAAATGGTCCAGTAATTAGTTACTCTCAAATAGAATCTGTTCGTAAAGATCTCCACCAACTTTATCGTGATTATGGGCTGAACCTTTCTGATATCTACGAGGATTATCTGCTCGAATTTGAGAATCACAATGCATATTATAACTCTTCAGAGGATCATGAAACTGTTAAGGATGTTGACGAAGTTCATGATTATGCTGTTTCTCCCGAAAGCCAGTTGGTTAATCAAGGTACTTAATTTTTGCTTAAATCTGGTTTATTAATTATAATGAGCAAAAAACTAATCTTGGTATACCTTATGGTGTAGATGCTCGGCAGGGAAGCAAGCCGAAAACAATCGATCAGGAGTTTGAAGAATACTTTTCAATGCTTATGATGTAAAACCTAACATTTTGTGTACAACACAAGTTTGATTAATAATGTTCACTCTAGTCTCGAGTGATGTACAGTCTCCTCTTTGATCTTGTAATACTTATGAGGTGAAATTGTACTTCTGTAGTTCTGTATCAATTTTATGAAATAAAGAAGTGAATATTTTGAAATGTGTTGTGTGTGTTTTTTTTAGTTAATGTTCTGTTAAGACGGTTGCCTATATTTAGCTATACGCTGCTAACTATACTGTTCACTGCTTGTCTGGCTCTGATTTGCATTCATATATATATATATCTGGAAAATGAGATACATCTGAGACCATTTTTTTGATTGCTGAAGATAATCGAGTGAGAAAACCCAAACAAATTATAACTCAAAAAAACATTACAAAAGCCGTTTTCAGATCCAAATTTCGATCGCCTTCAACAACTCGGGAGATCGGATGGTGGTGGTGGAAGCTTTTGACTCGTTTCCGGCCCGTCTAACACGATCCAGGCCATCCTCAAGCCCCAGCTCGTGTGCACGTCAAAATGACAGTGCATGAACCAAACTCCTGAAAATTACAGGTAATTTGTTCAAGAAACATTTTAGCATCATAAATAATACTTCAAAAAAAAAAATAAAAAATTCAATTAAGTAATACTAACTCATTTTATTTAAATTCTATATATATATATGCACCTGGATTATCCGCCACGAACCGGATCGCGACCCACCCGCCCGACGGGACGCCGACCGTATTCCGCTCCACCGGGTCGACCAGATTGAATCGCGTGGGGTCCACTTTTGGGTCATAATTTCCGAATCCTTGTCCCACCACGAAAAAGTTATATCCGTGAAAATGTAGCGGATGGCTTTCGGCACCCAAAATGCTCGTGTCTTGAAGAACGAGCTCGACGCTCGTGTTGAAAGGCAGGGCGATGAGCCGGGTCCCGTTTTCCACGCTCGTGTTTTCGGGCGGTGGGCCCGTGTAGTTAAACGGGCTCGACAGATGGGTCGGGAAATCGACGGTGTATATCGATGATGATATCCCGTTCGATTTTGATTTCTTGAAGTAGTAAGCTTGTAGAAGAGCTGTCGTGGGGAGAGCAAACGAGACGTTGTTCACCGAGGCCGCGAATTTCGTCCCGTTTGGGCCTTGACATTTTGCATTGGGCCCACACGGGCTCGTTCCGAGCCCGATTGTGAATAAGAATTGCCGATCGACTTTTTTCGGGAAGGCGGTTGATGAAGTGTGTCTCGGGTCGTTTAAGCTTCGGAATTTGCTGGCGAAATCGGCGACGAAAACCGTGTCGTTTATTTGTGGAAGTACGGGTTTGTAGATTTTGGTTATATTTGTGGATGGGTGCTCGTATTCGAGGAAACCGGCGACGGTAGAATTGTCGAAAGTGGCCTTGCCGGTGACGTAAGGCCTTGCGGTCATGAGGAAGGCCGCGTTTGGATGGTGAGGTTTGGTTTGGAGTAGGACATTTGTTGTTTGGCCCGGGGCTATGAGGATTACGTTCGTGGAAAATGGCTTCACGTACGTGGCATCGGCTTCGACTATGGTGAGACTGTGGTTAGCTATGCTGAAAAATAGCTCGTCGTTCACGGCTGCATTTATCAGACGAAGCATGTACGTTTTCCTGGCCTTCACCTTAATCCTGAAAGTATCTGGATATATTGACATGTCGAATATCATTATCCGAGTAGTGATGTTAAATTAAACGACCAGCTGAGCTTGAGCTCATTTAAAGCTCGTTTGGAGCTCGACTCGATAAGGTTTGAAAAGAAAATTTTTATATAATATTTTATAGTTCTGCTCGTTAAAGTTCGAGATCGGCTCGGAGTCGACTCTGATAAACGAGCCGAGCTCGAGCTCAATTTTAGACTCGTTTATTTAATGACCTGAGTTCGGTTCGGCTTGGCTCTCGGCTCGTTTACAGCTGAGTGTTTGCAATTTGACAAAAAAAAGTTGTATTAACGTAACATCAATAGGTATTGTAATTTTGAAATATAGTGTAATTTTGAAATATAGTTGATTCATCATTCAGGGAATTTTCTAAAACTCATCCATACTTCAAATTTGAGTAGTTATTGGCATTGAACTCATTTTTGAGATAAGGTCAATTGATAGGAGATAATAAGGACGGGAATTCAGGTTGGATTTGATTGGTTAAAGTGAGTTATTTTGAATAAAGTTAATTGAGTGAATGATTTTGAGTTTATAATTAAATAATATTTAAAATATAATAATTAAAGGTGATGTGATGTAAAAGTAGGAGACATAATATTGAGAGTGATAAATAGTTAAAATTATATGAGTGAATAAATAGTGAACTAAAATTGATATGATATGTGAGGATGATTGAGTAATATTATTTAATGATATTGATAATATTGAAGAGAGTTGGATTGAGTTGGATTTTGAGTTAAAAGATCGGAAACAAAATAACTCAATAACTCAATCGGTTCAAAACCGATTAAAACTAGTTGTATCTTATATCCAAACGCGCCCTAACTAGTAGTACCTTTAGAAGAACAATTGTACAAGGGCCCGGGGAGCCCGTTAATAGTGTATGCATCCGAAACATTCGGGCCTCCGCCCGTCCGGAGGGCCTGGTTAATAACCGCCTCAGGGTCCGCTTTCCACCACTCCCCTAAAAAATATGAAGAAATCAAAATCATCTAATTTTTTTTTCACCATCTATATAAGTAATGGGAAAAAGTTATGAGAATTCTTGAAATGGTTAATTACTTAAAATTACCAAACATGATGGTAACTTCCTTGTATGGTTTTCTGAAGGGGTATGTTTCGTTTCGTCTGGGAAGGATGATAATTGGCCCGTAAAGTGTTGCCCTAAGCCACGAAATGTGGGCGTGCCAAAACAAGGTTCCTCTTTGTCCCGTAACCGTGAAGTTGTGCGTGTAGCTCTGGCCCATTTGAATCGGGCATTGCGTTACATAAGCGGGCCCGTCGGCCCATCCGCTTCTAAGTTGCCGTATTCCATGCCTTGTGCCAAAATTTAACACGAAAACTCAAAACTACTTTCTTTTAATGATTACATGCATGTGTTTAATTGGTTACTTTCGTACCAATGAATCGTGACATTGTTCGACACGTTGTTGACCACTTTGACTAGAACTCGGTCGCCTTCTCTTGCGACGAGCCTTGGCCCTGGAAATTTCCCGTTGACAGTAATTATGCTCTTCGTGCTACACAATCTCGTCAAGTTACGTCTCACAATCTAGCATCCAGCAAGGTTAAATTCTTTAAATTGTACGTAGTACTATGATTGATTGATTGTGTTTTAGTGCTATTTTTAACCAGAATATGAATTTCATTAAAAATAGCAACACAATTTATATTAGCATTTGTGAAAATAATAGCACCATGTAAGATTAAAAATAGCATCAAATATTGTTCTCATTTATATTAGCGTTTGTGAAAATAATAATACCATGTAAAATTAAAAATAGCAAAAAATAAGCAGAACTAGTTTTTATTTTAATCAACCCAATTGACGTTTTTTCGCATAATGCTACTTACGTTGAATGTGTAGTATCTCGTCTTGCAGGACACGAGCTCGGGCAAAAGTGACGAAACTAAGAGGCCGAACAACAGGGCAGCAGGTATGCAAAAACGAGACGTCATTTTTATTTTATTATTTTTCCCCCCCTTTTTTTTATGAGGTTTAGGGGTTAGAGTTGAGTGTCTGAAAATGCGTTTTCATGTGTGGGTCTATAAATGAGGAGATTATTAGGTAATGAGTGTGTTTTCATTACAGAGGAAAAATAAGAAGGTTTAATGGAGTTTCGTTTTCCTGTTGAGTTGCTGTTGGTCAAGCTGAACTTTAGAGTGATAATGAAGAAAATGATGATACGCTTAGAAAAATTGTGTTAAACCTCTTAAAAATGGTGCAGATTTTGGCTTTTTGAGGTATACTTGCATCTCTTTAGGTGGAGATTTATAATCAGTTTGAACACTATATTGACTTTTGAGCTTAATTATTGAATAACGATTTTAAATCGTTGTGTTCAATTTTAAATGGGCATGTCACAAATGTTGCTATTAGACGGATAAATATGTTATATTTGTTGAAAAAAATACGTACTTACATTTTGATTATGTTTTTTTTTTAAATATAATATTTTCAATATGTAAATATGCACATATATAGAAAAGGTATGGTTATTTTCAACTGATAACTTTTTCTTTTGCTCTTTATGTTTATTTTCTTTTTCTACAATTTAAGTAGAAATAATTAACTACACTTTTAGCTATTTATTAATTTGTTTTCTGCACTTATCATCAATTAAAATCCTAGGCTTATACTTATTAGGGAACAATAACTTATTATAGTTTCTAAAAATTTCTCTCTCATACTCTCCCAATAAATCTATGTAATTTCATATTAAATTATCATACTTTGAAACCGATCAATTATCTGACTAATGACTCAATTATTTACCAGCTTCATTGTCTGGTACGAGGTTGAATGCATTGGACATAACAAAACAAAAAGATTTAACTATATTTATTCATCTTACAGTGATAATTATGTTGGAGAATACATCTTTCACACATTGCATTTTATCACTAGTTGTTAAACTTAGTATTGTCATTTATTGACAGACAGGATCTAGTTCTTAGAAGCTTGCTCGTGAAAGTATATAACACATTTGGCATGGAGGATTCGATTCTATTGTGCAGTTTGAGCCGTCAGATCTATACACGCTAACTCGAGTGTGCTTTGATCTGACGACTCAGATTGAGGTGTGACACTACACCATAAGTGGCTAGGATTTAGACTTTTATTTCTAGAATTAATCTTCCTATGGACAGTAATAAGTAATAACACATTCGACCTTAGCATGGACGATTTGATCCTAGTGTCCAGTCTGAGCCGTTAGATCAACGCGCACTTATACAGACATGCTTTGATCTGACGACTCAGATTGCAGTGTAGTAACAAGTCGAACTAAGGTATAAAAACTCAGATAACCGCACCAAAAATGTTCCGTGTGTATGTAATAACTAATAAGTATAGTTATTTTTACTATATTTTTAGCCTTATATTTACTTCTTCTTCTTCTTCTTCTTCTTCTTCTTCTTCTTCTTCTTCTTCTTTTTTTTTT